CCGCGGTGACGACCTGGACGTCAGACACGATTTCAATGGTACCACGAGCAATCTTGGTCGGGATACCGAGGGCCTGGAAGAAGGAGGTCTTGCCGGGTTCCATACCGGTGTTACCGGCAGGAATGGTGACATCCTTGGGCGCAAGGGCACCAGCACGGGCAGGGGCGGCGACCTTGTTGGCCGTGATGATGTCACGGATCTCCTTCAGGTCACCGGAGGTGAAGACGAAGCCGATGTTGCCCCTGACGTGGGGCAGGAGCCTCTCGAACTGGGGGTACTCCGCGAGAATGGAACGGAGAGCACGGCGAACCATGGTGTTCTTGCCCATGACGACAACACCCTTGCCGCGGAGAGCGACACGAATCTGGTGCATCTGGTTGGAACCGACGTTGTCAACATTGACGACGAAGATCGAGGCTAGAATAGACGTTAGGATCGCGTAGTTGAAATGCTCAGCGCTCAGGACATACGGTACTGAGCGACGAGCTCCTTGAGCTTCGCAAAGTATAGTTCCTTCTGCGCACGAGTGGCACCCATTGTTTTGAATGGCTAAAGAATCATAAACTTAGATTACGACTATGCGCGACTGGTTCACGGCTACTCACAAGAGTTGGATGTGAAGATGTGGATGTGTAAGTTTAGAGGGCGAATCAGTGCCTCCCTATGACCTCTGTGCACGGAGAATGCAGCTTGTCAATAACATTACAATCCCCTCTCGCGACAGCAAGTCTCACCTGTGTGCCAAAGGATTTTTCAAGGCGACTGGTTGTTAGTAGTCTAGTGAGCGACTCTGAGAATATACGGTTATGGCAGGTGGTGTGGCATGCAGTTGTGGAATTTAGAGTTTGATGACGATGCCGGAGCCTGCCGAGCGCTCACCAAACATGTACAATCACGCGCTCGCTGGCGACCGCGTCGTCGACGCGTTCGGCGGCGGCGGCGGCGGCTGCTACGACAGCCTCACCTGGAAGGTCACGATTGCCGACTGATCTTGCTGCGATTCTTTTGTCTGCTGCCTCTTCTGGTACTTGCGTCCGAGATTGTCAATTCTTGACTAGCTTATATCTGCTACGCGTCAACGAAGACGCGATTTGACGCGTACTCACCACCAAGTGTCATCGGACGCAGCTGACGGTCTCCTCATGCAATGGAATGTGGCGACAATGTCTGCCGACCGTCCGGGTCGCGGGCGGTGGTAACGCCAGGATCGCGAGCTATCGGTGCGCTGCTCACCTATATTGAGACTGACACCCTGTAGTGATAAGTCTGTCAGGGCGCACACAATTGCGTGCAGTGCTCTGCTCAGGACGCATGGCCCTAAGACCTCTTTGCCGAGGCAAAAGGTGACGCCAGAATGCTCGCCTTGCCTTCAGGACAACTCTTCCACCGATCTCCATGGCGCTTACACGGCGGTCGTGGTGAACACCGTTACCAATCCTCATGACATGTCGACGCCTGGTCGCGAGTCTTCCTCTAACTTATACGAGTCAGAGCATTTCGAAACGGCCTCGATGAATCCAGCCCCCGGGCTGCCTCTCTTCCCGGCCCATGACGTAGTTCACGCCAGGGCTCAGGCGCCCTCTGAGCCCATCCTTTCTACCTCTCAGGAAGATGCACGTATACCCGTCCCCGATACATCTACAAAGGATGCAGTAGTTGGAGATGAAGCAGCGTCTGCGACGAGACTTCTCGAGATGTTGTCCGCGTCTGCGACAAAAGAGCCTCCCAATGTCGTCCGCTCTCTGTACTATGCTGTTTCTGCGCGCGGACAGTTGTCGATGCTGGACAGCGCTCATTTCACCACTCTCCTCCGCTTCTTCGGCACACTCTCCCTGTCGTCTCCCGAGAAGGTCTACACTTATAAGTATTCCCATTCGATCGCCTCTGATCTACCTTCACAAGCATTCCGTCCGTACTGGTCGTTTATGGTTGCCGTGGGAATCGACAAGGTATCCATGGGTTTCAAGCACAACATGGTTGACCATTATTGGTTGTTACGAGCCCAACTTTCGCTCCTTGACGTAGCTTGTCGCTCCAGTACACGCAGTACACGCCAAAGTGAGTGCCATTTACAAGAGCGTTGAAGCTTTTGACTAACCAGCTCCAAAGGATCTTGGCTACAAACCAAGTTTCGCGTCGTACAACATCACTATCGACTGCTTAACGCTAGCATCCACAATGACCCAAGTTCGCACAGAATATATCATGTCTCTTACCTGGGATTTTTGCTCGCTCATGGGATCCCCGAGTATCGGAAGGAGGCAGTGAAGACGATATCGTGTTTGATACTCAATTACGACGACTGTCCTCCATGGCTCCTGTCATACCTGTGGAATATCGTTTTGAAAGTCGAGGAGCTACCGGCTGAGCTGAAGATCCACATCCTTAATGCGTTGGAAGCTAGAGTTACCAGCGCATTGGTTGTTACGTATGCCTCCCCTGACGAGCCTCGGCGTGAGGATATCAAGATGCCTCTACCGAAGTTGACCTTCGTTCAGCGTTCCAAAGCTGCTCTTTCCGACATCCCTACCCATCAATCACTTCCCAAACGCTCGCCTGGTGCGAACGTGGGACTCTCCATCTCAAGGCCGCCCACCGTCAAGCCTCCGAAACCTATCTTTACCTCAGTCCTTGTCAATTACTTAGGGCAGGCGCTGTTTACACGACATTCCCCCTGCGACAAGGCTGACGCATTGGAGACGGAATTCAAGGACTGGGCTCTTTCCATTGCCAGTGCCATTTTCGTTGGGAAAGGTGGAATGACGCCAGACAGACGCTGGACGTCGTTGTATCTACTCGCATTAGCCCGCACGTCATCGCCGTCGGGTAAACCCCCCAACGAGCCAATACTAGTGGAGTCGGGAGCTGTGGCGGAATGGCACACAATTTGCGCTCTCGCGTCCATAGAAAAATTGGTTCTCTCTACGGGCGAACAGGTGACGCTACCTTTCACGGACGTTGTAACACAAGGCTTCAACCACATACTCAACTCGTTGTGGCGGAGTTGGGTTTCTGCGCGGACGGACCTCACAGTGCGTCGGCTGGTTACCATGCGTGCTATATGCGCCTCATTCTACCACCTGGGCGGTCGACTGGGGAACAAGCATCTAGTCGAGGACTGCCATAGATTCACCATCACGTCTGGGATACTGGATCCTCACCCGGTCGACTCGTCCTCTCCAATAGGACTGCACACATTGGCAGTAGAACAGTTTGTGTCTTGCGTCAACTCCGGTTTTCAGGTCAGCGATGCGTACCATGACATGAAGAAGGCCCTTCCAGACCAGCATTCGCTCACCGTGGTTGTCAATTCTGTGGTCGATCGCTTAACATGGCAAGCCCCTCACATGGCCCATTATGTGCACAAATTCGCGGCCGAGAACTATGGATTGCGCCTTTATGTCGCTAATGCTGCAAAGCTGGCGCTTGCCTTCGCTCGCAAAGGTTACAAGGATGCGTTGTCGTACCTCGAGTTAGACTACTTCAACGACAAGGAGCTATTGCAGATAGTGCTGCCCCTTCTGACATACTACGCGCAACTCGGACAACGTCTCGGACGTCAAAGGGCATCGATAGTCGGACGTGCAATGCTCGCCGCTTTCCAGGTCCGACCACCGCGTGAGGCACGCGAAGACATCCAACGAATCGTACTTACGCTGCCGAGGCTGGGGAGTAATCTTGCTGAAACGGCTGTGGAGGTCGTGGAAGCGATACTTCGCAAAGCCCCATCGTACTTCTGCCGGTATTTTTACTCCGCATTCCTTCGACGACTCCTCGCACACCGGGAATTCGCCTGCGCAAAGCGTGTGTTTGACATTGCTTGTCGGAAGTGGCCACGGTTCCAGCGCAGCTGGCAGGACTTCCTCATTTCAGAGTACATCCGCGCTGGTGCTCTCACGTTTACAAGGAAACTAGCCAGGAGCCGGTTCAACCGCTCGCGGACGGATTCCTCCCATTTGGTTTTACTTGCTCGTCGCATATCGACACACAAACATACTCTACGCAAGGTTGCTACCTTGAGCATGCAGGCAATCGCGACTCGATCCGAATTATCCAATCGCGCTCTGGGCTGTTTGCACACTCTCAACTTACTCTTGCGCGCGAACCGCAAGCGTGCTGCCCTGAAGTTCTATGTGCAAATGCGCTCCAGCTTTACAGTCAAGGAGCAGACGGGCATGGGCAACGCGATCATATATGCCAGCGGCGCATGGCAGCGCAATGAGCGGCGCCTGCGCTGCTTGTTCGGGACGATGGACCGCCTCATTACGTCGTACGGCTTCATCCCCGACCGCGTCACAGTCAACATCCTGCTCAGCGCTCTCATGCAATGGCAAAAGGGCGTGGACAAGTTCGTCTTGCGGGACCTCTTCGACAGACTTGTGCAGAGCGGGTACCCGGCAGGACGGTGGAATTGCCCGCCGTTCGGATCCCGCAAGCGGAAACCTGGCGACGTAGCCATGGTGAAGGAGGGTGTATCGGAGCAGGTGGCGGGCATGTTCGAGCTGCCGATCATGAGGGAGGATATCTCATTCCGGAGGCATGTGCAGCCACTGTATCGTACGTTCATCGGACACTTCCATCTGAGGGGAGACAAGGCCAGCGCGCGAGTGGTGAAGGGGATTCTGAAGGAGCTTGAAGAGAGGATGGAGGAGGATGGCGAGAATGGAACCCGTGATGAGTCCGGTAGGAGATCGAACGGTGAGGCCTGATACTGCCATTGTGTAACTACGGAGGTATTATTTACGTCGTGCTTCTGCGACGTGAGCAGTCTGCCGAAAGACGACGGCTACATGAACATCTCGATCTCGCTCAACTTGGCGGCAATAGAGCGACTACTCCCCGGAACAGGAGTGAGTAAAGATGTTTGGCACAAAACAACACATACCATGAATGTTCCCATGCTATGCTACCAACTTTGTTACGTCTTCGTCCGTGAGAAATATGAGAGTGTCGGCGGAGGTAAATCGGCTCCAGTAACGAAGAGTTCCCGTGCTCAGCATGGCGAGATGGCCGAGCGGTCTAAGGCGCCAGACTAAGGTTACCTGTCATCTGGTCCGAAAGGGCGTGGGTTCGAATCCCACTCTCGTCACTCTTGAATGTCCTGAGTGGTTTTTGTTACATCTTGTGCGATTCTTCCGGTTGAAGTCTCTCTAACATATAGTTGGATTTTGTTGCTTATGGTTTATCATGTGCGAAATACGCGATCCGTCCCGGACTACGGGCACATCAAAGCTCATGCTGTGCATTCCAATGCATATGCAGAGCAGAACGACAACAGGCCCGATACTCGTACAACATCCAGAAGAACACCTCGTCCCTTCAATCATCAAAGCCCGACATGTCCAAGCCATAGAAGAATTGCTATCCGGTGGAACCAGGGTCAGTCCTGAGTGGCTGCGAGCGATTGAGGCATAGCAATGCGCACCTTGTACAGACTCATCACCTTGACCACCCACGCCTCGAGGTGGAAGATCTTCTTGCTCCCGACGCGCATGCGCGTCTCCTGCACGACACGAGCACGAGGTCAGCCTCCACGGCGCCAGCCCGCGCGCGCACTCACGTATATCGCGGCCCAGTGCATGATGTCCGCCTTGAGGCTCTCGTCGACGCGCTCCACGACGCACTCCGCGATAGTCTGGCAAGGGGTGAGCGTGCGTGTAGCACAGCGCGCACGGCGGGGCGCACCTTGAGGACGACGCTCGCGGGGATGCAGTGGCTCAGGAGCTCGTAGAGCTTCGCACGGACCTCCATCACGCGCGCGGGGCTCTGCTCGCCGAGGATGAGCTCTGCGACCTTCGCGCAGTACGTCTCCCAGTCTGGCTTCGCGATCGCGAGGGAGCCGGTCAGGTCCGTTCTGGGGATATCATGCGTGTCGAGGTGAGACAGCGGGCGCGATGCAGCGGGGCAGGGTTGCACAGGAAAAGCAGACTCACGACTGCATTTTCAGCGCCTCGAAGACAAGCACGGCCTTGCGCATGTTGCCGCCGGAGTCGGTGACGATCGCGTGGGCGGCCTCGTCTGGGAGGTGGAACTTCTCCCTTGTCGCGACGTGTTGCAATACCTTCTCCATCTGCAACACGCAGCCATCAGCGCCCAGAACACCCATCACACAAGCTTGTCGATCTTCCGATGCCCCGAGCACCAGGGCCGCGCGAACGGGAGGGGCGTTCTGCGGGGGTTGCTTACCTCCTGCGGTGACGGCGCGGCCACCCGCATGAGCAGACACCGGCTTCGGATTGGCGCAATAAGCCTACTTGTGCTATTCGCGCACAGGATGATGCGCATGTTTGACATGTACTTCTCCATCGTCCGGCGCAGCGCGGCCTGCGCGTCGCGCGTCAGCGAGTCCGCCTCGTTGATGATCACCACTGCGAGCGGCTAGAATGTGAGCGGACACGAGGACGCGCCGGGGAATGCGCGCACCCTTGAATCGCTGTTTCGCGTTGAGGTCCACTTGTTGCGTCTGCGCAATCTCCTTGAGGAGCTCCTGGATCACCACTCGGTCGTAGTTCCCTACTTCGCTGCACACCCGCCCGTTAAACGTGGTGTACACAGCTTGACCGGGCACAGCGCACGCACCTTGGTGTGATCTCGATGTGGAAGTTGCTCTGCACGACGTTCACGTCGAGCTTCCGCTTCGACGGCGTCATGAACACTCGTTGGTCGATCTTCAGCTGCGCACCATGCAACCGCTGCGTCAAATGCGTCCAACTTCCAGACAGCGCACGGCGCACCTTCTCCACGCCCTTCCCGAAGAGCTCGCGCAGCGTGCACGCGATGCGCGTCTTCTTCCCTGCGCCAGACGGACCGTAGAAGAGCATGTGCGGGAAGTCGCCCGAGGCTGCCTAAATTCCAGCTGCTTCATCCGCTGGTGCAGAGCGGAGGGGCGAGTGCGACTCACGAGGGCGCGCAGCCGGGCGGAGAGGCCGTGGTGGTAATGCAGTTCGTCGAGCGTGCGTGGGCGGTGCTGTCATGCTCTCCGGTCAGATTCGACACTCACATGGAGATCAGTTGTACGCACCTTGTCTACCCAGAGGGACATTTTAAAGGCGGGGCCCGGGAGGAAGAGATGGTGGCGAGGTGGCTGGACAAGTACCCGTCGCGGTCTGGCTGCAGAGAAGGGAAATGAGACGCGTTACGTCACGCGTGACGGGGCGCGTAGCCGAATCGCGTCGCGCCAGTTCGGCGCTTGCTCGAGCTGGACCTGTTCGCGAACACACAGCCAATGATAGTTGCGAAGTATAATTGAACTTGTCTCCTGCTGAAATGTTCAATAGCTAGCCAGATACTTTGGACACGTGGCTCAGACGGAGATGGTGGCGGGCCCGACACGCGGCCCATGCCTTGATTAGGAAGGGCGCGAGCCAGATGCGGCAGTTCTGCCTCCGTCCCGCTGGTCCGCCCCTCTCGCCCATCATGCACAGGACAGTGAGCCTCGCACACACGGACCAAAGTCTCCTCCAGAGTCTTTATCCTCAGACCTCGCTCCGCCGGCACACTAGAGCTCAGGGAGTTGACTGTAGCGGGATCGCCGAGCGAAAGCCCACGGCTCTCAAGTACCATTCGGTGAGCCCGCTCAACAAACGTTCGATCCGCTTCGACTGTCCCTCTTCGCGGAAACGCTCCAGAACGGCACCTGTAGTGCGTCCGAGCGGCATTCTGGCGACGTGTCGATTGCAGTGATGCAGAGGATTAGATCTGCACCCTCAGATCGCAAGCCGGAGATGCACTACGGGAGACACCATCGAACAAAGTGCATTGCTCCGAACGGGCGGCAGGCAGGCTCGTCAATGACACAATACGCCGCTGAAGTCATTCGCTCCTTGGAATCGCACACTGAACGTGATGTGGCACCGAGTCTTGGGGAATGGAGACCAGCCCTCTGCTGACGTGAACGCGAACAGTTGGCGCATTGAGAACAGACAGTCTGGAACATCTCGAACAGGATTTACGTCTATCAGCAGTCCCGAGTTCGGCGACTACGTTGTCGCGCCGGCGCCGTGGCGGATTGCTGGACAGCGAAAGGCAGGCATTGTCGAGTTGTACGTATGCAAGAGGCCCGAGATCCGTGCGAGAAGAGACGGCTGCGGGACCTCTCTGGGACACGGGCGCAGATAGTCGAGGGTGAGGGCCTATAATGGAAGGGCGAGAGCAGAGGGCGTGTGCCGGGGATGGCAGGAGAAGTCCAGCGATGATGGCTGCGGGGATTCGTCGGGCGCAGATCAGTGGACGGCGAGGGGAATCTGCGGACGGCGAGGCCAACCGGCGAGGCCAACCGGCGAAGCCAATGAGCGCGGGCGGCGAGACCAACGGGCGCGGGCGGCGAGACCAACGGGCGTGGGCGGCGAGACCAATGAGCGCGGGACCGTGTGTCGCAGCGGCCGGCTGCTCGCGGAGGACGTCGGATCAAGGCGCCGGGGGAGTGCCGCCGGGGTCGGGTGACATCATCGATAACTCCTCTGCACAAAACAGCGCAGCCAGCGAGCACCCGCCGCTCAGCCTCGCCCCGCCTCTGCTCGACCCTCCCGCCCTCAGGCCCAGCCATGTCCGACGCGCGACCGTCCTCCGTGAGCTCGCCCTCCGAGCCCGCCCTCGACCTCAACGTCGCCGAAAACACCCACCTCATCGTCGTCTCCAACCGCCTCCCCATCACCATCAGCAAGGATGCCCAGGGCGAGTACCACTTCAAGATGTCCAGCGGCGGCCTCGTCTCCGCCCTCTCCGGCTGCAAAAAGTCCATGTCCTTCACCTGGATCGGCTGGCCCGGCTTCTTCATCCCCCCAAAGGACCGCCCCATCGTCGACCGCCGCCTCATGGAAGAGTACTCGTGCCAGGCCGTCTACCTCGATGACGACGTTGCCGACCGCCACTACAACGGCTTCTCCAACTCCATCCTCTGGCCTCTCTTCCACTACCACCCCGGCGAGATGAACTTCGAGGAGGAAAACTGGCTCGCCTACCGCCAGGCGAACATGGCCTTTGCCCAGGCCATCCTCGGCCAGCTCAAGCCCGGCTCCATGGTCTGGGTCCAGGACTACCACCTCATGCTCCTTCCCATGCTCCTCCGCACCCTCGTCGACGGCCTCACCAACGTCGGCGAAACTACCGCACTCGAGTTTGAGCGCATCCTCGAGGGCATCGACGTCGACGATGCCCCGCCCCCGCGCATCCCTGGCATCAAGATCGGCTTCTTCCTCCATACCCCTTTCCCCTCGAGTGAGATCTACAGGTGAGCTCACTCGCGATCGCACTGCATTCGTCGTCACCGACCAAACTCCAGGATTCTCCCCGTCCGGCGCGAGATCCTCCTTGGAATACTGTATTCAGATCTGATCGGCTTCCACACGTACGACTACGCCCGGCACTTCCTCTCTTCATGTACGCGCATTCTCGCGCTGCCCACGATGCCGAACGGTGTAGAGTTCGAGGGTCGCCTCGCACACGTCGGCACCTTTCCCATCGGTATCGACCCTTCGTCCTTTATTGAGGTGAACGAATCGGAATAGCCACTGCCCAGAGGAGAACTGATTCAGTGCCACAGAACCTCAAGAAGGAAAGCGTGCAGAAGCGAATTAAGCAGCTCGAGCAGCGCTTTGGTGACGTCAAGGTCATCGTCGGTGTCGACCGATTGGACTACATCAAGGGCGTCCCACAGAAGCTGCACGCGCTCGAGCTGTTCCTCTCACAACACCCAGAATGGATCGGCAAGGTCCGTCCCACCCATGCTTCCTGATGCACGGCAGAGCGCTGACTCGCGCATAGGTCGTCCTCGCACAGCTCGCCGTCCCGTCGCGGCAGGATGTGGAGGAGTACCAGAACCTGCGCGCAACGGTGAACGAGCTCGTCGGCCGGATTAACGGGCGGTTCGGCACAGTAGATTTCATGCCGATACACTTCATGCACAAGAGCCTGCCGTTCGACGAGCTGTGTGCGCTCTACGCCGTCAGCGACGTGTGCCTTGTCACGAGTACGCGTGACGGTATGAACCTCGTGCGTCCGCCATCCTTCCTCGTCCGGCGCCGTCCATGTTACTTACGCATACCGAATGCGTGCAGGTGTCGTACGAGTATGTCGCGTGCCAGCAGGAGC